TAATGTTTAATTTTTAAAGATTTTTATTTTTAAGTAATCTCTACACCCAGCGTGGGGCTGGAACTCACAACCCTGAGACCAAGAGTTGCATGCTCTACTGACTGAGCCAGCCAGGCGCTCCTTAATGGTTAATCTTTAAAAGCACATGTACAGGGGCGCCTGGCGTGTGGCCCCACTGGTTAAGCTTCAGACTCTTGATTTTGGCTCAGGTCATGATCTCAGGGTTTGTGGGATTTAGTGCCTCAGGCTCAGCGGGGAGTCTGCTTGAGATTCTCTCCCTCTCCCTCTGTGCCTCCCTTCCACTCATGTGTGCGCACTCTCTCTCTCCCTCTCTCAAATAAATAAATCTTTAAAAACATTAAAAATAAAAGCACATGTGCGGTGCAGACTAATTTTGAGATTTAAAAAACCCAAGCTATGAATAATTATATCATAATTAGAGATTTTATTATATCTTTTAGTTCTCTGGATGTAGAACCTACACTCACATTATTATACTTTTAGCAGTACATTTTTATTACAATGTAATTTTTATACAAACTTTTAAAGAACTCATTATGTTTGAAAGATGAGGATTGCCTCAGTTTAGTACTGGCTCATCTCCAGGAGGTGCTGGTCTTTTTGTCATTATATGCAGCATCACCTGCTTTTCTCTGCCTATTGGATAGCAGTTTGGAACAAAGAATCAGTTTAGAGCTCACCACCCACCACTCACATAACAAATTCCATACGGGTCATAGAACCGAACAAAGGATATCAAAGAAAACAGATTACAGCATGTTTTTTGCCAATAAAAGTTGTTAATTGGCCATGGGCGTTGATTATGTCCTAGAATGGAGTTTATATTGTTCTTTTGGCTATTTTTATCTAGAAGGTGAGGACAGTTTTTTTGCCAGTTAGGAGTGATTACCTGATTTTAATATATCGTTCTGTCACTTCCAATGTGAATAAGCTAATATTCCCATGAGAACATTCTCATGTATTTTCTGACTTTTCTCATATATACACACTTAATATTGGACTAGGACTGACTTACGCTATTTGTCTCTGGAGTTAAATTAGAGATTTCAGAAGAACCAGCAATTTGGGGGCTGTTAATTTAGTGCTTTCATGTTTCTTGAAAAGTAGGAGGACATGCTTTTCTATTCTAAATACATCTGTAAAATCCTGATATCGCAAAAGCTTTGGCACGATTTTGATGAACGTGTTCAGTAAAAGATCTCTGTGTTTTCCAGGGTAGATAAGAAAACCTCTTCATGGCACATGCTATAGAATTAGATCTGTTCTTCGGTTATGGCCAATTCGGGCTCCACCCCTGCCTCTATCCTAGGATTTCTACCCTCCTCCTTTGCTCTCAGGGCAAGCTGTCGCCTGATGGGTGACCAGAGAGGCTGGCATAGGGATGAGCATACAGAGAAAGGGGTCTCTTTGAAGCTCAGTTTTATAAATCATCCTTAAGCCCCATTCCCCATTCCCACCCTTCTAGTCATGGTCAGTAAGGCCTCTTTCCCCTCCCCCAAACACATTCCTTTGATACTCTGTTCCTTTGTGCAGAGTAGGCCTTGACCTTCATTTAAACCTGATTTCCATCCAAAGCAGCAGGGGGTAAGTGGGAGCAAACTTTTTTTCTCTAGGGCCTCAGGACCCCTTGGGCCTGGCTTTTTTTTTTTTCCAGGAATGACTAAAAATATGATATACTTTCCTCATTTTGGTTTAGAGGTAAGAGTCTAATGTAGCAAGAAGGAATAACAAAGTGTCATAACAGGGCCACCTGGGTGGCTCAGACAGTTAAGCGTCTGCCTTCAGCTCAGGTCGGGATCCCAGGGTCCTGGAATCGAGCCCCGCATCGGGCTCCCTGCTCTGCGGGAAGCCTGCTTCTCCCTCTCCCTCTGGCTGCTGCTTCCCCTGCTTGTACACTCTCTCTGTCAAAAATAAATAAAATCTAAAAAAAAAAAAAAGAAAGCATCATAATAGGTCACTGAACATCTCTGGGTTTGCCACCAGGCTGGCTTTCCCCCCTTTTCTTTGGAGTTTGCCCTCACAGGTGAAATGTGCAGCATTTTCGCTGACTAGCATGGTAGCCACTTGCTACATGTGGCTAGTGAGCACTTGGAATGCAGCTGGTCCATATTTAAATGTGCTATAGATGTAAAATATACCCTATACAAACAAGTTTACAAATGAACAAAATATCTCATTAATCATTCTAAAATGTTGATTATGTATTAAAATGATAATATTTCAGGGTTTGGATACAATAAGTATATTATTAAAATTAATTTCACCTGTTTCTTTTACTGTGGCCACCAGAAATGTTAAAATTACACTTGTGGCTCACATTATATTTCCATTGGATTTTGCTATTATAAAGTCTATTTGAATTTGGAGTGTTTAAATTTGTTATTGATGCTCAGTAGATCTTTAAATTTATAGTCAGTTTATAATTATTATGTACTTAATATAAAAATTATAAAGTAAAATTAAAAAGAAGAAAAATGACCCAAAATTCACCGAGAGAGGAATTTGCAGATTTAAACTAGGAGGTTCCCAAATGTGCTCATTCTCTGCCTCCATTTCCTTGACTCATTTCAGGTTCATACGTAGAGGTAAATCAGAATGGTAAGAAGAAACCCACCGCCTTCTGTACTTGATTTCTGTGGGGTACGCTCCATCAGTTTGCTTTGAGCTTTAAGGGAGAAAGAAGTCTCAGTTTTATGGCAACTTGAGGGGAAGGGGAAGAGGTTCATGGTACCTTCTCTTCTAACGTTTAAAAAGAGAAGAGAGGCACCTGGCTGGCTCAGGTGGAAGAGCATGTGACTCTTGATCTCGGGGTCATGAGTTGAAGCCCCATGTTAGGTGTAGAGATTACTTAAATAAAATAAAACTTAAAAAAAAAAAAGAGGGACGCCTGGGTGGCTCAGTCAGTTTAGCGTCCGACTCTTGATTTCAGCTCAGGTTATGATCTCAGGGACATGAGACAGAGCCCCACAAGGGGTTCTGCACTGGGCGTGGAGCCTGCTTAATATTCTCTCTTTCCCTCTCCCCACCCCTCCCCATGCCCACTTTGGAGTGTGCACATGCACTCTCTCTCTAAAAAAAAAGAAGAGAGAGAGAGAGAGATAAGAGAAAAGAGGAGGGGCGTCTGGGTGGTCAGTGGGTTGAGCATCTGCCTTCCCGTCAGGTCGTGGTCTCCGTGTCCTGGGATCCAGCCCCACATGGGCTTCCTGCTCAGCAGGGTGTCTGCTTCTCTCTCTCTCTCCTTTTGTCCCTCCCCACCACTCATTCTCTCTCTCTCTCAAATAAATAAATAAAATCTTAAAAAGAAAAGAGAGGAGAAAATGTGTGTTTCCTGCACACCCTGTCATTTCAAAACCTCGCTAAGATGGTGCTGGTTTGAGTTGTATAAACCTCTGGTTTGAGTTGTATAACCCTAAGTGCTGGTCTAAATCTTCTCCCAGAAGGCAGGCTGACTTGGTATTCCAAATACCGAGTTTGGTTGGTTTTTGCTTCAGCTTGGCAGGTCTGCGTGGTGTCTAGCGTCAGCTGATAGAGGCCGTGGAAGAGAGCAAATGCCACATAAGCGCTCTGGTCGGGTGGAGGCTGCAGGTGGCACAGAAGGACACAGAGGCTTGTCCTGAAAGCTTCTGCTGGGCCTGTAGTTTAATGTTTTCCATCTGCAAACTAATCTAAAGGAAGAGCTTGTTTCCCTAGCATTCTGGTTGCAGGGACAGATGTGGGGTCTGACAGGCCCAAGTTTTAGTACAGACTCTGTCCCTAATTACATGTCTTTGAACTTCAGTCTCCTCAGCTGGAAAGTGGGAATAATGATGCTGACTACATCATAGAGATCTTATGAGGACTAAATACGGTCATGTAAAGGGCTTAGCATACTTGGCACGGGGTCTGTGGTTAGTAAATGTGCACAGTAATGATTGCCTTACTTCCTTGTTGAAGACTTGCACACAAGGAAACCAGTGTATGAATGAAGAGGCTGCAGGAAGGGAGGGATCTGCCCCAGTAAAAGCTGAATCAGTGCTTCCGTGTTCCCCCCAAAGGGAGGGCTAATTTGGGCCTACACAGATCATGAAGTCCCTGAGGGGTTTGCGTCATCTTCCCCAGACCACTGGAGTTCAGGATGGTTCTTGAAAGCCTGATAACAAGGGCCAATCCTGGGAGTCTGTTACTCAGGGGAAGTCCCAAGCAAAACCAGAAGCACATCCAGGATCAGCCTTGGAGTGCCTGGGTCTAGCCTTGGCCCCCTTGAGTGAGCAGGTGATTGCAGGTGCACAGCCCTCTTCATCAGTTCTCAAGTGCTCTGCAGGCCATGGCTGCTCTCCTAAGGCCAGGAATCAGAACTAGAATGGCCTGTGTTGGGGAGGGGGGCCAAGTTCAGTTAGTGTGCCCATGCCTGTACAGTATCCTTAACACTGAATTTGTGTTGCAAGGACTCCTGAGCAGATGCCTGCCTTTGAGAGACAAGGCTCAGTGTATGTAACACATCTAGAAGGAAGAGCACACTGCTGAGTCCAGTGAACTGCAGCTTTTATTTAAAGATTTTTTTTTAATCTTTCTAAGATTTTTAAGATGTTTATTCTTTGTCTTTTTCTCCATTGTAGACTTCCCCTTAATTTCCTGTTTCCCTACCTGTTAACACGCCATGTTACCTCTTTACCACCTTTCCACTCTCCTTCCTCCCCAACCCTCACATCACCAAAAACATTCATAAGAATACAGTTCCTGCTGGCTTGTGTATCCTGAATTTATATTGATTAACTTTTGACCAAACACTCTAGTAGGGGTTTTGATCTGGATAACCTGAGAAGTTGAAGAAAAAGATATCGGGACTCATCAATGCCTTTTGACAGCATTTACCTAGCTAAATAGCCTTGGGGCCACAGGTAATGATCCTGCCAAGAGGCCTTTGAAGATAGGGGCTTGCCTAGATCACTGAAAGATTGAACTTCCCTCTCAACCTATAGTTGTGATTTGTTATATTGCAGGGAGAAAATATCAGATACACAGAAAGACTGGAAATTCTTTGAGGTGAGTCTTTGGGGCTTTTCTTTTTCGTATGAAACATGAAGTACACCAATAACCAATAGCCATTTGTCAGGCACTTATTTTTAGTGAATATCTTTTCTTAAAAGGATGCTAACAAGCTGTATGCCATACCTTAAATTTTTGGTCTCATTTTCCTCCTGCAAAGGTGAGTATGTGTGTAATTTTCCACAGCTTTTCAGGAATGTGGAGAAATGGGGTCATCTGGGTTTGTGTCTGATTAGCAGCGTTATATAGACAGGTGGGAGTTTTTACTGTCATAGCCGTGGTCATGATTCTTGTCTGTTTTCCATCGTAGTCCTTTTATACTTTCTGTACATACGTAGCTTGGATTGTCTTCCGACGTCAACACTTCACAGAGATTGAGGAAGAAATAGGGAGGCTCTTTCGTACCAATATGTTCAACATTCCTCGGAGGAAGCGTGAGGATGAAGAATCAGGAGGGGAAAAGAAACGCATGACTTTTGTACAATTTAGGTATGATCTTTTGACTTTCCAAAGCTCAGGGACATTTCTAGAAAACAGGATGATGTAACCTAAATGTCACCCCTCCCCACCCCAGGAGAATGATGGCAGAACGCCCAGCGATTAAAAAAGCCATCAACATGCGCTCTCCAGTCATGTCTACTCTGCTGCCATCTCTCAGAGAAAAAGCTCAGAATGTCTTTGAGAAAAAGAATCATCAAGGAGGCATCAGACTCCCAGCCCCGATGCAAGAGCACATGGACAGTCTGGGCTCTGTGCCCATGCCCACGTAAGTGGCCCAAGGAGAGAGAAAAGAGAGCCTCGGGTCATGTCCTAGGTTGGGCCAGGAGGGGCAGGGGCTCAGACACCGTGCCTTGTCCAGAAAGTTGAACAAAGATGAAAGCCGCCTTCTTACCCACCCCCCTCCACTCCACCTGTTTCCTTTCCCAAGCAGCTCTTGGTACACCTGGCTAGACTAGAAAACATTGCTAGAAAGTTATGCTGGACTTCAAATAGCTCTAATTTGGAGGAGGGAGTAACCAACTTTATAAGGCTGAAGTTTCTCCATTAGAAGAACCAGCTCTGGGAAATGTGGGAAGGCCAGTTACAAAATCTTACTGGGGGCTGAGTTTTTGGACCCACACTTAAGACCACAGTGGGGGTTCATGGAAACAGGGAAAACTTAAAAAAAAAAATATATATATATAGGGGTGTGTGTGTGTGTGTGTGTAGCTTTGGTGTGTACACACACACTCGCAAGCACAGCCACAACCATACACCTTATTCTTTGGCCTCACTGCTTCAGCTCTACCAATAATCCTTTTCACAGAGTTGGCATCTTGGGGGAGCCTCGATGTCTCTTCAACCCCCATACCCTTCTGCCCCTTGAACCAGAAGAAAACACGAAACCGGATGGGAGACATTCTTCCCTGATAGAAAGAAATAACATGAAGATCCAGGATACACTGAACTTAGTCATGAGAACACTGTCCTCTCAAACAACATTCCCTAAATAATCGGGTACATTCCATTTCTGTAATTAAGTCCCTGTATTTGAAGTAAACTACTTTGACTTAATCACTTTATATAGGACTAATATTTATTATTATTAAACTTTTTAAGTTCAAATTATTATGTTAAAAGTTCAACAATAGACAATTAAAGAATCCCAGAAAGCTTTTGAAAAACTCATTTTCCTGTATTTACTAGTTTGCTGTGTTATTTATTTACTTCCTTGGCTTCTCTGTGACTATTTAGGGTAATATATTAGGACATTTAGCCAGTGTTCAATGGACTAGTGAAAAACATCCTGTGTAATTGTTCCTAAGTTCATTTTTACTATATGAGAGAGTATGTTTGGGACTTCTGAAAACTAAATTTTATAAAAAGGGAAATTAAAATGTTTTTAAAATGAAATATTTTTCTATGGCTATATTATTATTGGCATTGAGATATAAAGTATATCTGATTCATTTAAAAGCCTTTTAGCATATATGTTTCATTCATTCTTTCATTTACCCATTCAACGACAAACATGTATTAAGCCTCTGATCCATCCAAAGCCGTGCGCTGGGTTATGTAGGGAAAAGGGTTCATCAGGACAGAGACCATATCCTCAGATGTGGGTAGTAGAGAAGATAAACAAAATACACACCTGCTCACAAGACAATATTGAATGTGTTAGAGGCCATAAAAGAGGTAAAAACCAAGGCGCCTAAGAGGACAGAGCAGAAGAGCAATCACTTCTAGGGGGACCAGGAGCGTTTGGACTTGAATTTGGCTTTGGGGGGATCGGTTGGCACTAAAGGGGGACTTCCAGTCAGAGGAAGAATGTGTGCAAAGGCCCAGAGATGGAAAAATATGCTCTGTGACCGAGGAAAGGCAAGAGCATGATGCCTGCGAAGGGAGCAGTCGAGGAGCAGGCTGGAAAGGACAACTGAATGTCCAGCTATGGAGTGAGTTGGATGTTACTTGGCAGGAGGTGATGATTAAGAATCACTAAGGAGAGGCGCCTGGATGGCTCAGTTGGTTAAGCAGCTATCTACGGTTCAGGTCATGATCCTGGGGTCCTGGGGTCAAATCCCATGTCGGGCTCCCTGCTCTGCAGGGAGTCTGCTTCTCCTTCTGCCTGCCGCTCCCCCTGCTCATGTTCTCTCTGTCTCTGTCTCTCTCTCAAATAAGTAAATACAATCTTAAAAAAAAAAAAATACAAAAAAAAAAACAAAACTGCAAAGTTTTTATCAAAATCATGTACTATGAGCTAACCTTTGTTGGACTTTTCATTTATGTAGAGAATTTGGTTATAATGTACTCTGTCATAACAAATTTCTATCTAGAATATGTTGACATGGTTTTATTTTTGGTTTTTGTTTTTATTTTTTGATATTTTAAAATAAAGCCCGAGAATTAAGAGACTTTTATAACTATCTTTACTAGGGCACTGGGCTTTTCTCTACCTCCTTTCTGAACGGCGAGGCTTTGGGATACTTCATTTACTAATTCCTTCATTTGTTTATTCATTTTTTCATTCTATAATTAGTATATCCCCACTCTGTGCTGGGCACCATGTTTGGTGCTAGGAATTCAGTGTAGAAAAATACAGCCAACTCTGACTTGGAACTGACAAGTCTTAGGGAGTAACAGACGGGAAGCAAATACCATGATAATGAACTAATTGCAGTGGTGATGAATGCATAAGAGAAGGAGAGAATGCCAAGAGTGTGGAACCAGAGACTTGCTGGGGTGTGCAGGATGGGCAGGGGGAAGAGAGTTCACCCCTGAGGAAGTGAAATTTAAATCTGAGACTTGAGGGGCGCCTGGCTGGCTCAGTCGGTGGAGCCTGCGACTCTTGATCTCAGGGTTGTGAGTTCAAGCCCCACGTTGGTTGTAGTGATTACTTTAAAAAATAAAATCTTAAAAAAAATAAAATAAAATCTTAAAAAAGAATAACCAGCTGAGCCTGGGTGGCTCAGTTGGTTAAGCATCCAACTTGATTTCGGCTCAGGTCTTGATCTCAGGGTTGTGAGTTCAATCTCTGCATCCATGCCCAGCATGGAGCCTACTTAAAAAATAATAAGTAAGTAAATAAATAAATCTGAGACTTGAAGACACATGGGATTAGAGTGGTACAAAGTGAGGAGGGGAATGCTCCTAACCGTATTAATCTACTGCTGTGAAACAAATTACCCCAAAACAATAACATTTATTATCTCACAGTTTCTGTGGGTCAGGCATTGGCATGCAGCTTAGCTTGAATCTTCTGACTCCTGTCTCTCATAAAGGTTTCAACCAATGTGTCAACCAGGGCTGAAGTCATCTGAAGGCTCAACTGGGGTTTGATCTGCTTTCAAAATGACGCAGGTGGTTGTTGGCAGGATTAAATTCCTCATAGACTATTGGACTGAGGCTGCAGCCCCTCAGAAGCTATTGGCCCAAAGTCTCCTTCTGTTCCCTGCTATACGAGTCTGTGTCTCAGTAGCTTACAATAAATCAGTAGGCTTCGTCAGAGTGAACAAGAAGGGAAGAGAAAGTGTGCAAGATAGAAGTTAGTAATTTACCTACTATTGGAACTGCCATTCCATCAGTTTGCTGTATTCTGTTCTTTAGAAGCAAGTCACAAGGTTCAACCTACTCTCAATGGGAGGAGACCATACAGGGTCATGAATACCAAGAGGTGAGGATCACTGGGGGCCATGTTAGAAGTCAGCCTGCCACAATGGCTATGAAAATCTTGAGGCTGGAAGCAAAGCCTTTTCAAGTTGTTGCGATAAGGCTTTTGTGGGTATAGAGAGAAAGGATAGAAGGATGAGATGTGGCAAGAGAATAGGCAAGAGCCTATCATGGAAGGTTCTGTAAGTGTATTAAGGATACACTTAAGATCAATGGGGTTGTTACAATGTGATTACGCAGTTTGTGGCTTGCACAAGGCCACCAGTCAAGGGGATGGATGGGGGCTGAAATCCAAATACACATCTTTACTTGGCTCTAGATCTTTCCAGAGAGAGTCCCTTTAGTAATTTACAAAGCAACAAACTTAAATGGGTACCCTTTGATGTTTTTTAAGCAGGTGCATTGTTAAAGCTTACCAAAGAATTTTTTTTTTTTTTTTTTAAATATTTGGCAATTAAGTGAATGAAAAGGCAAGCTCCCAACTGGGAGAAAATACCTGCAAAACTCATATCTGATAGAGGACTTGAATGCAAAATACACATGAACTCTTAAAAATCAACAATAAGAAAACAATCCAATGAAAAAATGGGCAAAAATCTTACATAAGGGGTGCCTGGGTGGCTCAGTTGTTAAGCGTCTGCCTTTGGCTCAGGTCATGATCCTGACGTCCTGAGATCGAGCCCCATGCGGGGCTCCCTGCTCAGTGGGAAGCCTGCTTCTCCCTCTCACTCCCCTTGCTTGTGTTCCCTCTCTCGCTGTGCATAAGCAGGCAGAGCGGCAGGCAGAGGGAGAGGGAGAAGCAGGCTTCCCGCGGAGCAGGGAGCCCGATGCAGGGCTCGATCCCAGGACTCTGGGATCATGACCTGAGCCGAAGGCAGACGCTTAACCGACTGAGTCATCCAGGTGCCCCAAGTAAATAAAATCTTAACAAACAAACAAAACAAAACAAAACTTACATAAGAAGACACCTTACCAAAGAAAATATACACATGGCAAATAAGCATATGAAGAGATGTTCACAATTATTAGGGAAGGCAAATTTAGAAAGTTATGAGATAACACTACACACCTATTAACATGGCTAAAATCCAAAGAACTGACAATACCAAATGCTGGTTAGGTTGCAGAGCAAAGGAACTCTTATTCACTGCTGGCGGGGGGTGGGGAATAAAAATGATGCAGCCACCTTAGACTATGATTCAGAAATTTCTTTCTGTTTCTTACTTTTAAGTTTCTTTTTTTTTAAAGATTTTTTATTTATTTATCTGAGAGAGAGAATGGGAGACAGCATGAGAAGGGGAGGATCAGAGGGAGAAGCAGACTCCCCGCTGAGCAGGGAGTCCGATGCGGGACGCGATCCCAGGACTCCAGGATCATGACCTAAGCCGAAGGCAGTTGCTTAACCAACTGAGCCACCCAGGCGCCCCACTTTTAAGTTTCTTAAGATTCATATGAAAATGTAAGAGATCCAGATAAGCAAAACAATCTTGCAAAAGAACAAAGCTGGAAGACTAACACATTCTGATTTCAAAATTTAACTGAAAAGGGATCATAGACCTAAATGTAAGAGCTAAAACTAGGAAAGTCTTAGAAGAAAATGTTGAAGTAAATCTTGATGGTCTTGGGTTAGGTATTGGTTTCTTAAATATGAATGACACCAAAAACATAAGCAAGAAAAGGAAAGATTGATAGATTGGATTTCATCAAAATTAATAACTTTTGTACTTCAAAGGACACTATCAAGGAAATGAGGGTGATGGTTGTTCAACTCTGAATATACTAAAAATAAAATTTTACACTTTAATGGTGAATTGTATGGCATGTTTATGTCTCAATAAAGTTGTTATAATTGAAAACAATCCACAGAATGGGAGAAAATATTTGCACATCATATATGTGATAAAGGTCTGGTATTCAGAATATATAATGAATTCTTACAACTCCACAATAAAAAATAAATACTCCAATTTTTATTTTATTAAGTTTTTATTTTAATCATCTGGTGCTTATCATGAGACACGCACTCCTGAATCCCTATCACCTATTTCACCCACCCCCCACCCACCTCCCCTCTGGTAACCATCAGTTTGTTCTCTAGAGTTAAGAGTTTTTCTTGATTTGTCTCTTTCCCCCTTTTTTTCCCCCTTTACTCATTTGTTTCTTAAATTGCACATGTGAAATCATATAGTATTTATCTTGCTCTGACTTAGCATTATACTGTCTAGATCCATCCATGTCATTGCAAATGGCAAGATTTCATTCTTTTTTATGGCTGAATAATATTCCATTGTGTATATATATACACACCACATTTTTATCCATTCGTCAATCGATGGGCATGGGCTGCTTCCATATCTTGGCTCTTGTAAATAATGCTATAAACATGGGGAAGCATGTGTCCCTTTGAATTAGTGTT